GACGTCGTCTACAGGGACCTCTTCTCGTTGTGCCGTCGCAGGTTTCGTGTCCCCTGGGGCCGGCTTTTCTTCTTCTTGCCCGGTTTTCGAATAAGCGTCTAATTCTGCCATTAAATCCTTATGGTCTTTCCTGCTATCGGCTCTCATTTCTTTCAGCATTTCAAGTATTAGCTGAATGTCTTGCTCCTCCATTTCCTTGAGAAGCATTTCCATCATTTGCTGCGTCTCCATTTTGTAGCAGTAGAACACTCGATGCACAATAATTCAATTATAGTTTTCTAATGTGTTTAAGTATTGTCCTTTCTTATTCGTTGCTATGATATCCATAGTATTTTCTATTGTACCATATACATGTCCTGTGTTTAATGTGTTCTGAGTATCCTATATTGCTGTTATTGTGTCTTATGTCGTGTACATGTTCTTTGTATCTGGTATTAAATTTCTTCCCAGTTCGTCCTATATATTCCATGAGGCAATCTAAGCATTTCATACTATATATGCCACTACTGTTATAATTATTTATTCGTGGCCTTGATTTTAATATGTGCTGTAAATTATTTTTGTTATATTTCTTGTCTCTTTTCCTATATGTGTAAATGTTGCCCATTTCGTTTTTGTTTCTTGTTCTTCTGAATTCTCTGCAATGTTCTGCTTTTTTGTAATGTTTTTTTTTCTGATATTTGTAGTTAGTTTTGTAATTATATCTGTGTTGTACTTATTATTTATGAGTATGTTATTTATAGTAGCTATCACGTTATCTTTTGCTATTCTGGTAATGAAGAGAAGGGTGAAATTGTGTGCGCTGTAAGACGGGTGGTACAAATACACATCATTAAGAAATACTTAGACCTCAGAGAGAAATATGCATAGTTCACCTATCAAAATTAGTTTTTGACAGTAAATTTTTGTATCAGTCCAAATTAGGATAGTCATTGACTAATTTGTTCCAATTAGGTCCTTTGGAATTAATTACATTCAGCCTATAATCACTTAATTTATTTACCCAAAAAGTGCTTAATTTGCACAATTCTGTATATCTAATTTCTACTACTGGAAGGCAACACACACACACAAAATCTGGATTAAGCCTTTATTTCTATTCCAATATTTTGCTTCGTGTTGTTCCTTTGGTCTTCATAATAAAGTTACGAAATCTGGAATGTCACATACATACATACAACACTTCTATATGCTACATGAAAACAGGAGAGAAAAACTCCACAACTGTTGCTCCATGTTATCACACTTCAGTTCTATTTGCGAAGAGGCTGCTAATGACACTACTGTAGCACCTGGAGTAGGCTCTGACATTATTCTTGACATCTCACCTGCAAAGAACACATCTCATAAGCCTGTTCTGAAGGCACAGAGAGCATTAAAGTAATATGCGGCTGAACGTAATAAATACATGTAGAGGGATGGAACTTTAATAGTGGCAATACAGCTGTAGAGACGCCATGCAACGGAACCAAATAATGTTGCTTATACAACATGATAGTTACATACATTCCTTACATCAGACTAAATGGACTCCCCTTCCAACATCATGCGCATGCGCATTGATGAGAGGAACAGAGCCCCGTGTTAACTGGCGGTCTAATGTAGTTTTGTCACGATGTTTTCGAAGCAGAAACTACGGTGTTGGATAAAGATTGAATGTGCCAGAGGCAGTACAGCACAAGAGTGTCATCAAGGTCTTCAAGAGGCTTGCAGGGAATCTGTATTGCCTTACAGAACAGTGGCAAGATGGGTAAAAGCCTATAATGAGGGACGAGTAAATGTTGCAGACATGCGTCGGCCAGGTCGTCCTAGTGTCAGTGAAGAAGTGTATGCTCTTTCCGCATTACTGGAGTGTGATCCCCAACAGCGGACCGTCAATGCGCAGAATTACTGTTCATTTTTGGAACACAACCTGTGACCAATTTTGAGAAAGAAGCGGCGACACTTTCTGGAGACCCCACCCATCATTTTGCAGGATAATGCTCAGCCGCATGCAGCACAAGCTGTGGCTGATTTGTTCGATCGATGGGACTGGGGATTGCTTTACCATCCACCATACTCCCCGGACCTAACACTTGGAATTAAAATGGACTTCACTGTAAATGATAGGGAGCCAGGGTAGCTCAGTGGATATATTGACAGGTTTCAGATTGCATGGCTGGAGTTCAATTCCTAGCAGGGGCAAGAGATTAGTATCTATGACAGAGCATCCACACCGGCTCTGGGGCCCTTCCAGCCATCCATCTAATGGGTATTGGAGTTGAACTGAATGGGGTATGAAGGCGACCACTCACATCCATCTACTACAGAGGTTAAGAATGGTGGAGCTTCTCCACATATCTTCATGGCATGGTGCTTAATTAAGTAAAGATCAACTTTACTACTTACTCCGTGGAATCTTAACTTAGCCCCATGACATACTAGTATTTGTACGGGACATTTTATTTCCGAAATTTCTCACATCATAAATGCTTGCATATATTTTCCTGTTAAACTCCCTACGTAATCTATTAAACCTGGAACACACGTATTATGATATTTATAACGCTCGTAAATGCATTTCTTTCTGAAATATTGACACTTAAGAACGCTCTCAGAGTGCACGATATCACAATTATCAACATTGACTCTTACAATTTCCAACAGTTCCCGAAATATTCTCTTTCCGAATATTCCCATTATTAACTTATTATGTTCTTCAACATATGTGAAGGATATACATATACTTTATATGAAACGTATCCACCTCACAATACTAGTGCTCAAATATTAGATCGGGAATTCACGAATTATGATCTCAACCTAAGAATATATCACTCAATATTCTTCTGAGCATTAAAACAAAAAACGAACACATCAATATTATTGATTTGGCTAAAATATAAAATACAATAACAAGAATGTCTGCTGTAACAACTCGTGCTTTCCTGTAAACAATGTGATTCTGTAAGCAGTTTAATAGATGGAAACAATACAATTCCCTTATACTGTATACTACTTGCTACCACAGGTAAGCCTGAAAGATTAGATGGCGAGAATGCAATCCGTTCTCTATCACACCAAAATATACATCTAACTTACAAATCACTTGCCATCATTCTTCATGCTATAACACATACGCTAAACACAACTGTGCACATTTTACACTGTCATTGAACAGGATTGACAGCATAACACCAATGACAACATGTGTTTCACTTAGCATACCACCTTGTTATAAGCAAGAATTCTTGATGCAAACAAGATATGTATATAAAAGGGGAAACTACTGAATCCACTGTGGGCGAATGGAAATCTTGACATTCTTGAAAACACTACAAAACCTTACTACACATCACTGTATATATTATACACAAAAATATAATGTCACACTAGAGAATTTAAACTTCACTTTTGTTGTGCCGCAAGGAGTTATGGTAGCCTAATCCCTCGGGACACTTGTGGATACCTCTCACTGGGTCAGGGGATATACAGTAACAACACGTTGAATGACAATTGAAATAATGATATAATTGAATATAAAATATCTATGTACACGTAGTGCACTACCTTAACCTACCCTAATACATAAGTGATTCTGAAACTGCTACAATTCCTATGGCAGTGTACATTGGCTGCTATGCTTGGGTGATGAAATATCTACCGTATCGTTACTCCTTCATCCTTGTTACACCATGTAAAAGAACTGGCAATTGCTCACAGTGACCTCAATATAGGTAAGTACTCACATGACCTCCACAACCATAAGATGGCGCCGAACATTGGTCCCTTCATGTCTGACACTATCACTGGTTCTAGGAGCAACTACTCCTTCCAAATAAAAAAGCCTTTTCCAGCACTGTGGCTGGGGTTTTTATAGGGTTCCAGGGGGTCGCGCAAGTACTACCCATGCAGGTATCTGCCCTGAAATAGCCTACTCTCATTGGGTGTTCATTTCCCTCTTATAAACTAGCCCATATGCATCACTCGGCTGGTGCGTGATCCTCTTATGCGCGCACATTGGAATGGCTGACTGGCAGATACCGCACACACTCACTGGTATGATCTCATACGGTTTCCGGTCAGTCATCCTAGTAACCATCCCATCCGGTCCAATGTGTCTAGTGTTGAAATTGATTGCCGCCTATACCGTGGCATAACACTTTACACTCAACATTATTGTGACCAAAACATCATACATTATACCCACCACTATCTGTCACACAGAACTAAGATATAAATTCAAAAAATAACTTCTTCAATGGGAACTAGAAATTCACTTTGTGCCCTCTTCTTACAAGTACTTTATACTAATGCAAAAAAAGTATATCATTCTAATTATCTACTCACACGTGTAATATTCAGAAGCTACATACCAAAACTACACCGTTTTCTGTCATACCAGATACGCACTCATAAAATCTAAGTCACTCTCTATCCATATAACGACTAAAACACATTTTATGCAAATCACTGTTACATACGTACTTTACACGAGATTATTAAACACACCTCGAAGAATAATTGAATTTACAAGTGCATTATACTGCCACATTATGGAGATGGAAACATTGCTCGAGCACCTGCTAGCAAGGATGGATGCTGATAGGATGACTCACAAGGTGGAAATGCTGGCAGATTTGGACCCCAGGTAGGTAAAGACGGAGGCCAATAGGAAGACCGACAAAGATTTCCTGGCAAGAATGGATGCCAATACGAAAGCCTGGCTGCAGAAAGGTAAGCCATCCAAGCGGAAACGAAAGCCGACAAGAAGAAATGGCCGCCATGCGAAAAGGGATGGACACCAACCAGGCAAAAATTGACACAGAGTGGAAAGCCTGGAGAAAAAGAATGGCCACCAGCCACAAGGAGATGGTGGCTGAAATCAAACCCGAAACGGAAATGGAGACGATGGTCTACCAAGAGATGGAGGAAAGTCTAGAAGAAGAGCCAACCTCAGTGGGCATGAAACCTGAGACAGCACAACAAAAAGAGGTCCCCGTAGAAGACGCCACACTGATGCCGGTCGGAGAACCGAAGAAAAAAGGGGTAGGGACCGAAAATTGGCTGGAGAGCGCCGCCGCCAGAAACCGAAAAATTTGACACAGGAAAATTGTGGACCCCAGAAGAAATTGGTTGTTGTCCACAAAGGGACAACACGACGTGCGAAAGTGGCAAGGAAAACGCCAATAAACCAGAAGGTATCCCGCCGTGCAACAGTGCCACGGTGCAAAAGGAACATCTTCAAGAAATCTTCGAGCCAAAGAAATTGTGGACCGCGGAAAGAAGTGACCGCAACCGGAATGAAGATTATATGCTGTGCAGGCCACAAGCGTATGGGAGAAAACAAGAACAAGGTCGCAAAGAAAACCATCATGAAACTGACGTTCGGGAAGAGACTGTGGAAAGGCCCGGAATGCATCACTGGCATAAGGGACCGAGGCCTGAGACAGCAACTACAAGGCAGAAATGAAGTGAAGGACCTAGGCGGCAGACAGCCGCGATATGTGAAGAAACCAGACCTGAAGAAGGTACAAGTGAAAAGCACAGGAAATTGACATGAATTTCACAAAAACTGCAAGACTGGAGATCGCGAAGCGTATAGTCGGATCTTCTGTCAGCCTATGACAAGACAAGGATTGGAACTTGTGGAGGGGTCGACACCCTCCGAAACGAAAAAAATTGAATAGAGCACGGTGGAGGAACCGGTAACACAGAAGCACCGGCCTCCCCAGCTAGAACGAGTGAATGAGCGATGGATGAATGTGATATGATGCTGGACCATGGAATTGCTCGGGACGAACAATCCTAAGGGAGCGGAGGATGTAACGGCTGGAGAATAGTCGCTGCAAAGAGTAGCCGAAACAACATGAGTCGCAGCAAGCACAGCCTTGAGAGAAAAGGAACAGCGATGCATCTTAGGCTATTCGGGATGGACAGCCTTAAGGAGGGAGCAGTGTGAGGTATTTGTGCTATGCAGGACACCCCTTACGCCGCCAGCGGTGACGTAGCAGCATCGGAGCGCTCCTGCCGCTACGGTAACTGGCCAGTCAACACTCCACCCCCTCCCCCACTGTGACATAACACGGGACACCGCTGTTGACACAGGCAACAGGGAACGGTATAAAAAGCCGGCTGAGCAGTATGTGGCCAGAGTGTGTGATCAGGAGTGACAGTGTGGATCGTGAAGTCAACAAGTGCAGCAGAAGTCTAGCAGTCACCGAAAGCAGTGGATGTAATTGTGATACTGCCGATGGCAGTAATCGTGTAATTGTGAGAGTGAGTGGAATAAATTCGCTACATCCAAGACGGCGTGAAGTTATCTGTCGCTTTATACACCCAACACGTCACAATACTATTGTGAGAACATGAAAAGTCTGAAACTCAACACTGTGTGAACTATCCATCAATGAAGGCGCGAATGCTGTTTTTGAGATAAGAAGCACTGTAGTTTGGTAGACAGTAACCATTTTGGAGGAACCTGGTGTTCCATCCTCAGGGTTTCTTCTAATTTTGGTATGTCAGTATTAGTATATTACAGTTACACCTAGATAGTTATACAACTCCACCATTACACTAGCATCCAGTTAAGTTACTGCCTCGTCACCCACTAAACTTCTTAATCATTACTCCAGCTCTTCCATGAGCACCTCTGTTCCTGGCCTGGACAGTGGATTACTTCCTTTTCAGCTGAGGACCCCCCCCCCAAGACACCCAGGTAACAGGGACCCTGAGTGGTCATCATTTGAAAGCAGGTACAGATTCTTATTATGATCACAGCCCAGCACTTAACTTATTGAGGAGAGATGTTTATCTCCAAACCTTCTCTTCAGCTTTTATTTCTTAAAGTGCTGATTTGCAAAGAAAGGGGAAGCAGGTGGTTCAGAATTTGAGCGGAGTGTGGTACGCATTGAAGCATTCTACTATACACAGCGCTGTCTCACATTCACCACACCAGTACTGCGTATCTCTCATTTAGCTCTTTTTTCCGTAAACCAAACATCTTCTGTGCGGCCTTGCCTTCTTCCCCGTGGGGGGAATACAAGAACAAATGTCTCTCCATGAGTCATATCACTAGCCAGATTAGCTGCAGTAAATTCAACCTTTATGTTATCATAACAAGTGTTGGTGCTTCTGCGTTTCATTTTCCATCCATTTTGGCGGCATAAGACGTCGTAGGGGTGACCACAGAATTCATGAAGTTATTCTAAGAACTGGCTGGTATGTAGTGAACGAAAGCAGAGCTTAGCTGGCTCAAAAAAATATTTATGGTCATCCCTCGAAACGACCACCAAGGTCAGTACGATAAAATGGAGTCAACTGGAGCGATAATACATGAAGGAATGAGTTCTTTTCCCTCCCCCACACACACCCGTATCGTCACAGGGGGTGACCACAGTGTTCTGCCTTAATTTGTGGCGTTTTTTTAAGAACTGGCTGCCATGTACTGTGCGAAATCAATCGATCTTGCAAGAATAAAATTTGGACATCCCTCTTCTAAGAATTCCAATTGAGTGTGTTAGTGTGGCCAGCTCAGGGCAATATGATATTATAAACACAGCACATATCACGTCTCTGCTGTTTATGACTTCATAGGAAAGAAAACACACCATTCATAACAGTTTGAAGGAGGAAACCACTACCAGAAGCAACACGATTTTGCTGCAAGACAGGCATATGTAACGATGACTTAGCGCAGCTAAACAAATGCCTCATTAGATACGGTTCTCCTGACAACAGAGCAGCGAAAAATCTAACAATCTACAGCAAAACCATCAATTATTATGGGCGTTATAATATAGGTGTGCAGCTGGACGAAACATACACGTCAAACCACACTGAACGGTTAAACAGTCCCAATTACTTTGTTCCATTATCTGGTGACATGCTTACTTGAGAGTTACTTGATATGGGTTCCTCTGGTTTCCCAGGACTGGATTCTCATTCCTATAATTTTGGCAAAAGATGGAGCAGCACCTAAACTGCATAGAAGTTAACTCTTTCTTTACCTGCCAGATGGCTTCCAACATAATTTTCACATAAAATTCCACTGCTGAAAGCATTCCAACAGGAACTTCACAATGCTGGATTTGAGGTTCTCATGACAGTGACTATGAAGTGATGGTCTTCTAGGTTGTAACACCATGTACTTCAGAAACAGCATGTTTCAGAGGAACATGCTGCCTCTATCATTAGGGTCAGAGAGTAAAGTCAAATGTTGGGCTCCTTCAAAAATAAACAGCATTACAACCTAGAATTATGTATCTCCAGCAACCTTATGAAATTACAGCCACATTCTAACTGCATGCTGAGAATTATATCATTGTACCTCTAACAGTATTGAAACAACAAATGGTAGGGCTTTTTATACAGAGGGGTCCAAAAAATGTACTCACTCTTTGATAGTCTATCTTTGGAACAAAATGACATGTAGTTAAAATTCTTGCGCGGAGAGAGAGAGAGAGAGAGAGAGAGAGAGAGAGAGAGTGTGTCATTGTATGTGACCACCATTAGCAGCTAAACAGCATCAATGCCGCTGAACTGCTGAGCGAACTACAGCTGTCAAGTGCGTCCGGTGTGATGGCTGCACACAACACTTCCCCATAGGTAGAAGTCAACAGGTGTTAGGTCTGGAGACCGTGGTGGGTACTCAACAGCACCTCTTCGACTTATCCATCGTCCAGGTAGAGTGTCATCCAAGTACGCCCTGACATCTCGATGGTAGTGAGGTGGAGCACCATCTTGTTGTAGGTAAAATCTCTCATCTCCAAACAGCTCTCGAATGGCAAGGAAAATCGATGTCTGAAGCATATCGAGATACACCTGACCAGTTATAGTACCTTCAAAGAAAAAAGTACCAATCAAACCGCGTGATGACAGACCACACCACACATTAACACCCAGTAGATTCACTTCCTTGCCCACGTGAATGTGTTGATTTACAGGAGCCCAATACATACAATTGTGGCGTTTAACAGTACCATTCATTTTGAATTGCGCCTCGTGAGTACCACTTCAACACAGCCTTGCATTGCTCAAAGAACAATCTTTCAGCCATTGTTGCTGCTGGCTTCTGCTCACCACGCAGGCGGCATGACACTCATGTGACTCATGTGACCTTCGCCATCTGTTGAGAAAACATTACACTACACTACCGCTCAAGAATTGTAACTACATGTCATTTTGTTCCAAAGATATTGACTATCAAAGAGTGAGTAAGAATTTTTTTGGACCCCCACCTCTATTTATATCAAGCTCTAAAGGTAAATTCTGCACAAATTATCTTGTAACTGGTAGAAGTAAGGTGCTGATCACAGTGGCCACGCAGTCTAAGGCATGAAATGTCTCCACCCACTCAAACACTTGGATCGTGGTTCGAGTCCCACTCAAGGAATTCTGTGTTTGTTAGGTAGCGGCCTTGCAATGGGCTGATCTTCCAACCAAGGAGTTCTACTGACTGTCTGAAATTAAGAATCTGAAGTGAAATGAAGGGTTTCAAGGATGCCCTATGCTCAAAGTGGAAACAACAGAAATAGGAGGAGGAGGAGGAGGAGAAGAAGTAAGGTTGGAAGAAAAATGATGGGCAAGAGTTAAATGGATACATGCTGAAGTGTCAGCAGGTCTCCATGAACACAGAATATAGTTAATGTGAGTCATTTTCTGCATGTACATGACATACTCAGTTCAAATGAAATTCACTAATCACTATAAAATGTAACTGTATTGAGAAATTAGTTATCTAAGTTCCACACATGAAATTACTCAACTCTTACACTGCACATTCACAGGGAAGTGCAAATTCACTTTCTTGCAGATCCTTTGCCAGTCTTGTTCTCCCGGGATGACGCAGAAGGTATTCTGTTATCATCCCCACTGTGGAAAGGAATATTTTTAACAGCTGCCAGCATTTCTGGTTGATCTGCACTGCAGACAGGACAGCTATGTATCCTGTCCACCCCTTTGGTGTACAGATGAACACAATGCAAATGTAACAATGCAAGGCACCTGTCACACCTGTAACCCTAACACAAACACAGGGCTAGTCAAATAACTATAGAAAGCAATTTATCATGGACACTTTATAAATTTCAAGTTATAGAACATACTATGTTTGCCATAGATATATACCTTCTTAATTAGTCAACACAATGGTAATTAGATGGAAAACACTCAGTACAGTTTACAAAATAAGAATGATAGTCTGCATTTTTTAAGTACGTTATTTAGTGATGCTGCCAGTATCACGACTCTACAACATCAATGATAGGAGATTAATAATGTGAGGCAGTTGGTGGAATATGAGCTCACAGGGGAAACGAAAGTACTTGGAGAATTCCTGCCCCAGTGCCACTTTACTGACAACAGATCCCAAATTACTTGACCTGGTATTTAACCCCACGCAGCCAGGGCAGGGTACTCTGAAGGAAGAAGCCATTTTTCATTGGAATTTATTAAATAAAGTGTTTCAATTACAAATCAATAACCTGATGGAAAACTAGGCCGCGCCATAGCTCAAGCACTTAGTCGCTGGCTAGCAGCCTCCGTAGTCTAGAGGTAACGTTCCCACCTCATGACTCGTAGTACGCGGGTTCAAATACCCAGCGGAGGTCGTCGAATTTTTAAGGGCGGAAAAATTCAGGGAACAAGTCCTCCGGGAGGGACTTTAAGCCATGGGTCCCGTGTCGTAGCTTTACGGCACGTAAAAGAACCTCATATCTCCAAAGGAGGTCACTAAGCCAAATTATGGATGTTTCCTGCCCAACAGCAGTCTCTAATACCTCTGGTAGATGGGGGAAGCATTATAGATACCTCTCAGCTAGTAGAGCCGGTCTCGCTGGCTGGGCGGGACTGATGGTAAGCACCAGTACCGGTAGGATATAGAGACTGGTAGAATATCATAGAGGGAAGCACAATGGACCAAGACAGGTCTAAGTGCATGGGGAAACCCACCCTCTCCGATAACTAACTAGTCGCTGGCTTCCCAACGCGGCGGCCAGGGTTTGATCAAGTGGGATCTGTGGTGGACAAAGTGGCGCTGGGGCAGGTTTTCTCCGAGTACTTCAGTTTCCCCTGCCAATCTTCATTCCACCAATTGCTCCACAATCACCCTCACCTATCATCTGGGGCCGGTACAATAGGCCAGAAGTGGCCACAGTGCAAGGGACTTAGTCCCACCCCACTAGCAATAAAAAAAAATGATGGAAAATTAGAATATCTTGAATTTAACCCTTTCCATTCTACATACATATATGTACATATGTCCTATGACATGTTAGGTTAAGTTACGGCACATGGTAGTGTGGTTGGTTGAGGCACTATGCTACAAGCAGGATGGTACTGAGTTCAATTCCTGGTGAGGTCACTGGATTTTGTGATTGACCTAATCTTTCCATCCGCTTTATGGCCCTGGGTTGATTCAGCCTCTAACAGAAATGAGCAACAGGAATCTTCCTGGGTGTAAAGGATGGCTGACACGTAAGGCTGACCTCTCCATCATCTGTGAGCTGACCGTCTAGAAAATATTGGAACCTCGAGATCTCAGAACCCTATCGGCCTCCACAGCCTGTTAGAGGGATAGCTTTACCTCTACAGTAATGTTTCCCAATCTTCATATACCTGTGGCACAGCCAGTTAGTTTAGAAAATGGAGGCACAACATGTAGCCAAAATTGTGAACACAACCACAGGTCATACATGGTTGGGGGTCTAAAGGCCCCTCTTTCCCACAAACATTTTGAAAAATGTGATCACAAAAAAGGTTACATTTGAGGTGGACCACTCAGGCTGCATTTATGAACTGTGGCAATAAAAGAGCAGTAACATAAAAAGTAGACAAGTAAAATGTGTAGTACACTTCTATTCTTGCAGAAACACTTGTGTTCCATAGGACACATTTTGGGAAGCACTGCTTTACAGTTGTACAAATACATGTAAACAATGAACAGCTCCATGGATGTAAAAAGAACTCATATATAAGTTGCATAAAACATCCCTAAGTATGAGTATAAAAAGATTTAGTCACTTTGTTTGAATAAGCAGAAAAATCCCCCCCATTCTGAATGTTAAAAAATAGTACTCCTCTTATAATTAAATCTCTAATGCCAGTCCACACTTTCTGGAGAGCATGGGGCTTTGACTCTGTTTGTTAGGAAACATGACTCTTGAAGAAACCTGAACTGTACTACTACTAACAGCAATGGCTTTCACACTCCATATAATAGCACCCTTCCAGTTCAGCAAAGACTTCAGTGTGTCCCCCTTTCTTAACTCTATGAATGTATGTAAAAACAGCTTTTCAGCTCTTCAATCTTAAAATCAACACATTTGAGGGTTTTATCTGTTAATAATTAAGAAGATTTTACAAATGCTGTGATATTCTGAGAATTGTGATCAATTCAATTTTATATTTTACTTTACAAGACTATCCTGCAGCCTCCTCAAACCAAACCATTCACAGATCCTCCTGGGGGGAGGGGTTACCCACACTCTGGAAACCAGTGCCTGACATTATGTTGTATGTTTAGTGCCTAAACATGGTCACACTGATCTCTCAGACCTGTGCCCAGATCCATTTGTAATGTGAGAGCACTCTCTGGGTGGAATGTTACATCCGTTGATGGGGTGACACAAACAATGGCCAAGTGAGACAACCTGTCACTTAACGAGGGCTTCAAACCACAGCAAAATGTACATAGTACTGCTACAGACATGGGTGAGAAAATTACAGGGCAAAAGAAGATAAAAGGGATGAAAGAAATTGGTTCACCCCTTTTGGTTAGCATGTAGACAGGACAGCACTGAATTCAAGATAAAGCAGAATGTTTTATAACTGTCTTTTCATTTATCATGTTTTCCTTTGAAAGAATGTGAATGACCAATAACAGGCATCTTTCTCATCCACTTAACCCAGGAGTCCTGAAACTCTGTGACACCATGCCTTCCTAAAATATTACATACATTTACATGACCAACATATTACCAGTCAGCAAAGAATGCAATTATGCATACTGTTGCAGATCCATCAGACTGTATGGTGACAGCAGGAACCTAAAGAGTTGTACAACCTCCCTATATGTGCAGCAATCTACATTATTCTCTCTACGGAGACAAAAAAGTTCATGAAATATTTTGCCGACTAAAGCTACAGTCTCCAAAAACACCTATATAAAATCTGACTTGCCAGAATTGTGCATAGATATACCATGCTCCAGATAATACTTGAAAACTTGGCAACTACCTGTAGATAAGGCTGAGACCCACAGTGTTGGGAACCATGATATAACAATTTCCTCTTCTCCGTTGGAAAGCTTCTAACTTCATACTTTACCCATACAGGGCCAATGTCAAGGGCTGTCCATCTCCAACTTCTAAAATTCCTAAGTACATATGCTGAGACTTTGTTCTTTACACCCTTTCACAGCCCAACTAATAGTTCACAGCAGCTTGCATGCATGTTTTCAATGGTCTGCTTGTTTTATTAATTTATCTGTGGTTTATTTAATGATGCTGTCAGTATCTCAGATTATATAGCATCGAAAGGCAGGATAATAAACTGAAAGTATGTGGAAGGAAGCAGTGAAAGCCTAATTAGAGGTAAGTATCCCACACCTTGCCTGGACAGAATAAACAAAACCACAGTGAGTTTCAATCTGAACAGTTAGTGTGTCAGCAGAGATTCAAACAGGACAGCCCTCAAATACAGGTGAGATTTAAGACAACTTGCCGAGATTGACCCCTTGCAATGAGGTTGAAAAAAGAAAAAGGGAGTGTTAACATGTCTCTGAAAATTAATTATGAAAGAGCTTACATCTTCATACTTACCTGCATAACAATACGTTTGCAGAGACGACAAATATTGACATAGTCTTCATAAGCTGAGAGTATGAGGGGTTCCAACTCCACAATACTCAGGATAGTTAAATGAACTTTTCCATCCTGCATGACAAAAATTAAGGATATGCAGACTCCATGAACAGTACATTGACACACTTGACATAGAATGTAATAGTTCTGTAATAATGTCATTTAAAATTTACATATTCAGTGATGCTATCAGTATTGTACACTATATAGCATTAAGTGATAGTGAATATTCTAAGGACACCTTATGAAGACATCACATATCATCATCATCATCATCATCATCATCATCAGTAATCTGTCAGACAACAGGTCCACAGTCTCTTCCAAAACAATTCCTCCACTTAATGCGATCTTGAGACTTCTCCTTCAAATCATAGTATCCTCTTCTGTCCCCAAAGTCATCGAGCATCTTACATCTTCTTGTCACTTCTATCCGCCCCTCAATCTTTCCTTCAATAACTTCTTTTAGAAGGCAGTTTCTGCGTAAAACATGACGAATCCAATTAGCCTTCCATTTTCTTATTTCGTGTAGGATATTCCTCTGCTCACTGACTCTAATTAACACTTCTTCATTTCTCACATAATCGGTCCAACTGATTTTCTCCATCCTTCTCCAACACCACATTTTGAAACTTTCCAGATGTTTCTGATCTACTGCCCTAAGTGTCCATGTTTCAGCCCCATACAGAGCTATGCTCCAAATGTAGCATTTCACTAGTTTCTTCCTCAAATTTAAGTCCAATTTGCTGGTAAAAAGATTCTTCTTCCTAAATGCAGCTTTTGCCATGGCAATCCTGGATTTAATTTCACTAGTACACCTTCCATCATCTGTTAACAAGCTACCCAAATATTTAAAACATTTCACATTCTCCA